GACGCTAACCGGGTCAAAACAAGATAATGGGGCAAATTGGCCAAAATTGGGCTTCCGCTTATTGTTCACACATGCAGGCCCAGAACCTATATGCATTCTGCAACCTGCGTGAAAGGTCTGCGAAGAACGCTTTCAAAATCCTCTATCCGAAGGCTGCCCACAACCGGAACGGTCCCGTGTACTCCAGGGGAAACAAACAGGGCTTCGATTCTATAAAGTATCCAAGGTTACAGTTAATCATTTGGTTTCCTAGACTGTTGAGTCTGTGTTTTGTCGAGTGCTGAACTATACTTCCCAACCAAAACTAACTTCTTTTCATATAACATCTGGAAAATTAATGTTATATGTCCCTTTACAAAGTTTTACCGGGTAACTAGGTTGCTGAGCGTATCTAGCTATTGCACAATGTGCCAAAATATGAAGATTTCACTGCAGGGACGTAGGCTATTTCACAAAAAGACACCGACGCCGCCCCCCACAGAACCAGTGGTGGAGGACTCGAGTCCGGACCCGGAATCGAGTCTGAGTGGACTTTTTTGGACTCGTGGGGGAGGGTTGACCCGGCTCGGACTCAGGCCGTTTTGGGGTCGGCTTGGCTCAGACTCAGACTGATTGATGGACTGCAATCAAGTCTGTTCAAAAATGTGAAATTGAGAAATTTGTTGAAAAACTGTCCTGCATCTGTCGTCACTGAAACTTTGGGTTTAGTTCTTTACCAAGAAATCTCTTTTAGATACCCTAACTGTAGTGTAGTGTCGAATAATCGCAAGCATAGCAAGCGACCGATTGGACAGTTGCCCGGCGTGGTCCGAGCAGTATGGACTCACGTCACTGCGTGAAGCACTGACTTACAGCCCTCTCCTGGTTGTGCCAATCACCATTTATACCACGCATTGACATCATGTAGGCTAACTCTTTCATACAAACTTGGTTGATACTTAATTAAAGAGTGCTTTAACGATTTCTAAATGAAAGCTCTTCTTATTAGGCAAAGAGTTTGTTCATCATATTTGGATCTAGGCCTAGACAGTTGAAAACTATCGAACGGGTTTGGAATGACATGGGGTTTTTGTGCACCAGTGTTCTGCTCTTAAGCTTTTTCACAGCTGTCAGACTTGGCTTGGACTTGACAATACGGAGTCAGGCTCAAGCCGGACTCGGACCTGGCTCGGACACGAGCCTTCATGGACTCGGAGTAAAATGGACTCGACTACAACATTTCTTTTTCGGGGGGGGGATACTTAAAAGAAATTCACAAAAGGAAGTGCACTTACAGTAACAGTATAATATTTCCTCGTTATGGTAAGGTCTATTGCTTAAATATTAAGAGAGAGAATCTGAAAGTTAATAAATTAAAGAAGCTCAAAATACGAGATGATATACACCACACATATTAACACCACACGAAGGGCCTGTTTCACACCGATCTTTAGCTCGATCGGTGATCCCCGAGCGGCTGGTTTGCACCATCCATCAGATCGCGATCCGGATTCGCGTAAAACAAACAGGCCCAAAGTGACCGAATGATCAACGAATATACGTCGCTGTATTCTTGTCGCTTTTGAAGTATAAGCTGCTCAACTCCTGGGATAGAGACCGCTCTGTTTGGTTTTGGTTTTGTTTTCTTGAATAACGCCCGAAATTCAATTAGAAATTAACCTAGGCGAAGACACCCTAAGTTTGTCTTCAAACAGACGTGATGCAATAATCATCTTTATTATTCCCTAACCTGGCAAATAACTCGGCAACTGTAAAAAAAAATACGAAACAGCGACACATAAATATTTTTCAAAATAAATGAATATTTATAGATATCGGGTCAAAAATAAACATTATAATTTACTAGAACATTTGTAATGCAGAAAAAAAGAACTTGTGGAAAAGAAACTTCTCCACCAAATCATGGTTTATTGCACTTGAAAATTTTCACCGTGGTACGTTTGTACGAATAAAGACATTCACGTGCAGTTGAAATGCCAAAAACGTGTTTCGTGTTCAAAATAGTCTCTTTTTGCAAAGGCCGATAACAGTCTGATCACGTACTTGCCCGTCTCAGTAAATTCTTCCGAAATGTCAGCAAAAAAAAAGAAACAAGAAAAAAAAGTTTATATATATATATATATATATATATATATATATATATATATATATATATATATACAACAAGCTGTTTTGTAGTTCGTGGAATAAAAAAAAAGGGTTCTGTAGTTCGTGGAATAAAAAAAAAGTTACTTATTAACAAAGCATTATCCGCAAAATATGCAGATAGCTCTCAGTGCATGTAATCTGTGACCAGGCACGCTGGCAGTTAAAGTCCTTACAAGTTCAGAAAATCTGCACGTTAGTCTTCATTCAAGTAATTTATTAAGCAACGGTCACAATTGTGTCCTTTTGTCTTTGCTACCCCTATTACTTCCAGAATCTGCTGTTTTTTGAAAGGCACGTCCCGAGTCTTTCTCACTTGTCGGTCATTTCAAAGCACACACAAGTGCTCGAGTGACTGTGTACACCGATCAAGATTCCGTCACTCAGCTTCAAAAGAGTGGATCGGTGGGGATATGGCCATGCCCACGGAGGCAACATGCTTCAGTTTACAGAACATGGTGTCCCTTCCTCCCAAACCGAGTAAAAAGTCCATGACTTAGCCTTCAAACCCTGGAAAGCCTATGAAATAACCTTCGAACCTGGCCCTCAAGGAAAATGACACCTGTGAAATAATTCGGTTCTACATCAGCCTTTTTGAACGATCTGAGAATGTTTGTAATAGCACTACATGTACACTTCCACGAAACATAAGCTCTGGTATGACCAAGATATGACAGGAACCATTAAGATTAAAGAGGTTCAAAAAACAACAAACAAAACAAACAAACAAACACCCCAACAAACAAACAAACAAACAAAACAAGAAAATAAAAACAAGCCATAATAGTAACAGGACCTTTTAAAACCATTCATTGCATTCCTCAACAGCAAACGCCTGAGGCTTTGTAAAAGAGCCAACGTACTTAATCTGTAATTTTTATTCTCTCGACCGACTATAAACAGGGGTATGCTCAAAATCTAGAAGTACATGTACATGTACATAAATAACTATGGCGTGTTCTGTGGCTTTTCAAATTGGATGTTATTGTTCCGTAAGAATTTCTCCCCGACATTTACACATTTCAAAGGTCAGTGGGAATATCACGTCAGTCTGGTGACGCGGCGCAAACATGTGTAAATAAAGAAGTAGGTATTAAATAAGAAGAATCCTTTCCAACAACTGAATTACCGATACTAAAACAAGGGGATGGGTGTGCCCAAAATGAATGCAGCCAGAATGTTAAACAGCGCTCACTTTTAAAGTAAGCGATACAAACAAAACAAAGACGGAACAAAAAGAACAATTTTTAATGCATAGGTTTCTTCTTGTTCAATTTTAGTGGTTTCATTTTTTAATTAAAGAGGGTGAAATCAATCGAAGTGGTTCAGCAAGTTAAAAAAAACCAACATATCATTTAATGTGTAACTCAGTGTGAATGCATATTTTGTATCTTTCGAACTGGCCTTTGAAGAGAAATAAACGGACTGGAGGCCAGTCTACTCAAGCTTGGGAGAAGGCGACAAAAAAAACCACCTGTTTTATCACCAAGGAAACACCTGGCCGATTGGGCCGCGGCTTTTTATTGCCTGAGGGTGGTGAAAGGCAAATCGTATTGAAACTGTCGTGTCCTTAAGTCCCTCTGGTCCATACTCCCAGAAGTCCCGGGCGCTCATCAGTGACGACTGTTACTTCACCGGATGGGTAAATCCAATAACAGAGAGTGATGGCGAAAAATGAGAATGAGAAAATCGCCAGGAGATGTGACGTTCGCGGACCAGATGGGGAACTCATGTGCTGCGATCACCAAAGGGTGCCCCGAATTCCAGATGGTTTGCAGCTTTCGACGATTATCAGAAACCGCGCCGAAACTAAATTGGCATTGCGATACACCCGGACAGAGTTAACAGGGTTGATGATGCGAATTTACAAGACGTCCTTCCTTCGTAACAACCTCCAATTTCTACCGCTAAATTTATGTCATAGATTCCTTTTCTTCCTTCTTTGCCAGTTTTGTTTGTTGATTTAATTTCGTGTATTTATATTTTGTTTTGTTTGTTCTGGGGGGCGTGGGTATTCAATTGGGCATACGCAGCAAACAATTCTGAATTTTCTATTTCGTCTGTGGATAGATTATCTAGGTGAGGACTTTGTATCAGAAAAAGCCAGATGCATATAAATGAACAGCTGAAATAAATACAAAGGGAATTCGTGTTCACAGGGGTAACTAATAAAACTCAGGAAAGTAACACAGAAAGAAAAAAGGAGACCCAAATCGTCATGTTTCATTCAAATGGCTCCGATAAGAACCCCCTTCCACTGTTAATTGTTAGCCAGTCTACTACTGCACTTTGCACCCCCCCCGACATATTGCCCCCTCCCCGCTTGGTGATGCTTACGTGTCCTAACACTGCCCGAGAATGACAGAGCAAAATTAACTACGATATTACTGAACAGCAGCCTTTTCCTCGTTCTGTTCACATGAAGGAGCTCGTACCATTTCCAAAGTAGGCCTACTGTAGGCTATTTGACCTTTGCGAAAAAAATCTTTGAAATGCACGAATAATTTTGCTGGTTAGACAAGCATGTCTATAAGCCTATACATGCATTTCTGTGTTTACTAAAAATGTACAAAAAAGCTTAACAAATGAGTACATATTTTGATTTCTGGGGTTAGCTGTGTGCCCTATATCCATAAATAAATAGGGATTGGTTATCTAAGTTTTTCTGTGTATGGGTAAATAAGTGCTCTATGTTGTTTTTATATGTTTATTATACCAAGATTTGTCTGTTTGTGTATTTGCATTAAAAGAGTCGACAAACGTAATAATTACTGTAACTCATCACATCAACCTTAGTAACCCCTAAATATTATATTTATTGATCGTTAAATTTCACACATGTAAGGGATTATTCTTACTAGGATTTTACGTGTTCATCGTTATATCAGCGCATGGGGTGATATCCCGAAGGGAGATAGGACTAGTGATGTAAAGTTTCACTTTCATTGTCAAGACAGAGAAACGAAATCCTCATTTCTATAATTTTTTTAAAGAAAAGAAAGACCGGCCCACGGCGACGAGAACGGGCAAGTTTGACACGACAGTGCAGGCGAAGACAGGTTGGACAGAATATTATAATCATGTAACAAGTCACCTGAAATAGATAACCTGCTTACTGACGCAAAGATTTCCATGGCAACAGATTTGTGGAGGGATCCCTCCAGTTAGCAACGCGAACTGAAGACGCTTGATGAAGTTTTATTTGTCATATACACAACACATGGACAATGTTTATCAAACATAGACCAAGGTTCGGAGTTATAACAAGCGAAAATCCCTCTACATAAGAGGTTTATATATTACATTTATCACAATTACTTTCAGGCAATAAAATAAACATTTTATTTTAAGTCACACTCTCCGCCAAATTTACAGTTTATGTGCAGTATACACCGTACACGTACATGTACAGTACATGTGTAGTGTACAGTCAAAGCATTTTCTAAATAAGGCTAGCCGTTACTATGCTGCGTTGCACGTCACACTGTTTATGTGCAAAGCCTATCAATCAACTTATCAACTGGACTCTCATTGGTCAACACTGCCCTACTTATTCCACCAATGATTACATAAGTGACGTTATGGAACGTCAGCAATGGATTTCGAAGAAGTCCCGCCTTTAGGTCAATATTGACCAATCAAAGAGAAGAATGATGACCCGCGCACCGCTGGGGAAATTTGTGAATGAAAATGCCGCGCGCAGTTGGTGTGCAATGCACATGCACATCATCATGCAGCCGGTTGTCGTATCAGCTGCGTACGCTGCATAAAGCCACGTTTATCTACATTACTAGTGAATGCGTGTTAGTTCTCATAGTAAGTCAGGATATGTCGCAACATCAAAACACTTCCAAATATTGCCTTTACCCGCGTAACACGCCGTGGTCACCCGTCCAACAAGTGGATTGATTTCCTGTTACCGTCGTCTCGAGGTTTTATCGGACGATTTCTCTGTGGATGCTACGAGACTGGTCGAGTTCAAATATCTACGGACTAAGCCCACGACCAGTGTTAAGTGCGAGTAAATAGTAGGCCGACGGGAAGCCAGCCACAGACCGCGGGGTGACCGACTTTGAAGCGACCGTGTGTCGGGCCCCCATCTCGTCAAGCAGGGTTTACGGACGCAAAACCTGTTGATAGTTGAAGGTAAGACAGGTATTTTGCCACCAAAGTTTTTGTCACATAAATACATGTACGTGTATTTTGCTGTTGAGGGTGGGGAGGCCCGGGTGGGTGGGGGTAGGGGCCAGAGATCACTTGTTTTGCTAATAAATGCTCGTAGAAGGATGAAATCATTAACGTTTTCAGTGGTTTTCGTTAATTGTGCATTTCTCTTGGTTTCTTGACTTATTGTGTTCATTATAAGAGAGGTTTATTTTTTTTATTGATGTCACCACTGGATATGTAGGATGCTTACTCAGTCATGTCAGTTGTGCCAGTTGAATTTTAAACATGGAAAGTTTATCGTGGAATAAAATAAAAATATACCGTTGTTACCTGTGTTGTCATTAGATGAACGTTCCAATGTCACAACTGTTTTCACTGACTGTTTTTGTTATGATTCTATCGTTAATGTAATCATTTGTTTTGCCATCAACATTCATTTTATTGATAGGGCCTACATGTGTGTCACATACGTTAATTGATATTAAATTTATATTTATCATTTTCTTGAAATGATTTTAAAGAAGTGTTGTTAGCCTGGAAATAGTTCTCTCTGAATCACATTGGTTTATCAAACATATTGTGCATAGTACATGCATGGATAGAAAATCTGCCAACTACATGCACATTCAATCTACAAATGAAATACGTCATCCAAGAAGTCGCTGTCATCAATATCGCCAATGATGGTATCATTGTGTTCTTCTCGTAAAATGATCTTTGCTTTCTCATGTAAATTACCTGTAACACATACATGTACAGTGGAACATGAATTGTGATCTTTGTTGTACAATGTTGTACTGCTGTCAGTGTCCTCCTTGTCATTCATGTCATTGTCATCTCAACATTATAGTCATCCCCACCATTGGTTGTTGTTGATTGTTATAAATTTTAGCAAACAAGAGGCATGGTTGGTTTTTGTGTACAGTCTGTCTGTTTTTTCCAAATTCATATTTTCCTCAAAGAATGAAAACCTTGCTCTCTCTGTACAGAACAGTTTCATCACAATGTACCACAGTGAGGTTGATTCTACCATGGTTGTACCAGACCTCACCATGTTGAACACATCACACAAGACGCATTACCATAGTCACACTCACAGCCAAGACAATTTCAGACCGGGCAAGCCCAGACCGCGTGCACTGGAGATGATCAGATTATACAAGGTGAGTACAGTATCAGGCCTTGCGTGGCATCCAACTTCCAAGAGATTGTGAGGCACTGGAGATTGAGAATGTACGGCTGATTTGATGATTTTGAATTTTAGGGATGTGCCGTTCAAAGCCTCGAATTTCTTGAGATTTTTATTAAAATGAGACAGTAGCCAAAATGCGCATTGTTGTACGTGGTTGGATGCAGCTATTTTCCCAAAGTGCATCAGCAGCTGTAGAATAAAAGAGACATTGCCCTGGATCAGAGTGTAGGCAGCCAGGTGGGCTACGTGTAGATAGCACATTTGCACCAAAGAGTTTGTGTAGATGTGTACAGAAACTTAAGCTATATGTACAGTACATGCACATAGTGCATGCTTGGGTTTACGATTCCCCCCCAACATACCGGTACAGTCGAACCTTGTTAATATTATAAGAGGTCCTTCGAACTTGGCAAATTACCGGTACCTTGTTATAACATGAACCTGGTATTATTATAAGGAATGAAAACAATGAAAAACAAAAGGATTGGTATCTCAAATTTCCCTTGTTATAAACAGAAACTTGTATTAACAGTGGTCTTGTTAACGAGGTTTGACTGTATAATACCCAGCAAGAAATGAGACCGAGGGGTACCCCCCCAACATGTCCAATCCCAATACACATTCCAGACTACTGTTACTTAACACATCCCCCCCAAGATGTCTGAAAGGAATTCCCCAGATTCCTGGGAGACAATGACCAACACGAAGCAGGGGGGGGGTTCTCTCCGTCTCATACCTTGCTGCATATGGACTGTATCTTGAGGAAATGAGTGTGTGATAGGCAGTGCAACCTCAACATTGAACAGTTGAGGATTTTCACCCTTGGAAGTGTAAGTGGGCTTTGAGAGTGTGTTAAATAACCACTTAACATGTTTTAGTAATCAGGGCCATGTTCCTGCTATAGGTACACACAGTACAAGTGTACATGTAGACTTGTCATGAGATTATTCTCACCTGATCATCACCTCACAGGGGGGGGCTGCATACAGACTCTTAATCCCACCTGATGAAACACCTTTCTGATTTCAAAGAAAAAGGAAGTGATTACATGTACTTGAAGAAAACCCCTGTTCAGGGTTAACCCTCCCTTTCAGAGCTTGCTTGGAGGGGACTCAGGCGGATTTCTGTACGGTTTGAGCTGCAGTAGTTAGTGCAATCAAGAAGGAGTGTTGTTGCAGAAGTAGTACTGCACTACTCTCTTGGCATGTCTTTCAGATTTTGCTTTTAATAGAAACTGTATAGGAAAGAGGCCCTGTGGTTTTTGTTACATTGTATTCATGTGGCAACACCGGAAGGAAGTGTCTTTTTATACATTGTATTGAAAAAAAATGTCAGTTTGGGAAGTCCCCTGTTTGTGTAGACACATTTTGTACATTATACAGCCATAATAGACCTGTTGAAGCTCTGTGCACTTTTTGTGCAGTGTAGGATTTTCTGATGTGATTTCCATCTCAGTGATTTCCTCCCCCCCCTTGTCCTTGGGATACCAAAAACTCTTGTGCATATAGTGGTTTCATTTGATTTCCTGAAATCCTATCCTGACTTTGAAGTATTGTGCCAATTTGTATTGGTCGTACATTGAAAAGATGTATGTAACTTCATTACTCTCCAGTGTTTCGCTTTCCAGTCTGGTTGCTTTCATTAAAATCCATTCATATTTCTTATACCGGTACCCTGACTGCTAGTTTTGTGTATGTATGGGTGGGTGGGTTCTCCTCCATCTCTGGTGGAACCTTTTTTTGGTGCATAGTTTGTAGTTTGGATATTTTTTAAGGTGCAGTAATCTAAACTGCCCTTTTGATGTAAGAAATCTATAAAATGATACTCCAAAACGAAAGCCGTTATCTGTTGTGCTTCAGCGTGAAAATGTACATGTACAATTGGAAAATGCATCAATATCTGTTTGCACGACAACACGGAATGGAGAGAATAAACTGAAATGCACTTTCCTCTAATGGCTACCATACTGGTTGGTTTTCAGTGGATACACTGATTGTAGATGAAGATGAAGAAATGAATGGTAGGGCAATGCATTGGAACAGGTGACCCGGAACCATAGAAAGTAATTTCACCGATTACAAGTGCGTGTAATTTTGCATGCAATTTAAAGGAAGGGGATTTTCTGTTAGGACCATTGGAAGGTGAAAGCTGCCGTACAAATGTGTAATGCCAAAGAAGTTTCACATTTTCACGTGCATTTTATTTGCACTTCAGTTAGCACTAAAATCAGCATGTTCCATGAAAAACTGGCTGATTACTCTGGGAAACAAAGAAAACAGCACATTTTGTTTTTGTTTTCTCTTTTTGTAGTCCGGGGTCGGGTTTTTTGGTGGGTTCCTGTTACGTACAAAACATGTACTAGTATGCTTTATTTGAAGTGCAGGATGCTTGGTTGGTTCCCCACACTTCCGTTAAACGCACCGCTGTAGTCTAAATGAATGTCGTTTTCTTTGGTGCATGAGAAAATTCAGTGTAAAAATACACATGTAGGAACACGGTTTCATTAACACGACTCTGTCAGACGGTCACAGCAATGTGAACAAAGGCAGTTTCGATATTTTTGTTTGTTCTGTTCAGCGGTGAAGATCTACACCGCACTGTAGTTATGCTGTTGATTTGCTATTGAAGTTGACCCTTTGCAGAGTGCGTGCCCTTTTGCTTACCCCAGAATTTGTAAGGAAATCAGTTGGCTGAAATTAACAAATATTATGCCTCAATGCTTGTGGTATGTGTGCCTTGAGTGTTTCTGCACAGCACTTAGTACCTTGTACCCACCTGTGTGGTTCAAAGAGTGAGTAGTAAATATTCTGTAGATATGTGTTCTGGTTTACATGCACATGATATATGTATGCACAATATGTAAACAATCTCACTTGTTGATATGATTGAGTAATGCACAAACTATTTCATTTCTTGTTGGGTTGGAGTTCATTCACAATTACAACAAGCGTTCTGGTTTCTCCGAAAACTGAAGCCAGCAACAAGAGTTGTGTACTTGGGTAAATACAACTTTTAAGTACTAAGGTACACAAACACATTCCATTTCCTTTCTCATTGGTCAGTTTTTGGTCACACCCCCCATGGGGGTAAACAATTGCTTATCTTGTGATAATTGATGGCCAGTCAGAGGGAAGGTTCACTGCCCTGCTCCTGATGACATAACAGGGACTTGGGGAATGGGAATCCAAGTATACAAGTATCTCTTCTGGGTGGTTTTTGTTTTGGAGAAGTGCTCCCCTTTTTTATTGGTTGGTTCACTTATTAGTCATTCCAAACTGTCAGTAACAGCCTGGGGCTGGATTTAAAAAGTTTTACAGAATTGAATTTAAAATTAGGTTGAATGATTTTATAATTCAATTTTTTTTTACTTAACTTGCATGAACATGTATGTAATTTTAGCCTTCAACTTTAAAAAAGGTACACGTACATGTATGTACATGTAGATTAAAATACACTCCAAAATACCCAAAATTTTCAAACGACCCAAAAGGGATTACGAGCAAAATGTACACCACGGAGTGTAGGCCTACATGTAGGCTATTTTTAAGGACCGCAAATTAAATTTTCTCAGAATAAAGAATTATTAAACAAAGGCATGCCAGATGGGGGGAGGGGTTGAATGTGCTCTCCAAACAGACACTCCATCCTGAGTCCCGATTTGTGGAAACTGGCAGTAATAGTTCACCTACAGAGACACAGCAGGCAGAGACTTATTTTTAGACCTCTCAACTTTTCAACCCGTTTTGTTTTTGGATGTCTGAAATAATTTCAACACCAGTCACCAACAGGTGCCCAGGTGGTCACTTTTTTATCCTACTTTGGCCAAGTTGATCATCTTTCAACACCTTTATCATGGCCATTTTTCCCTCATTCAGGACTTTTGCCAGACTCTTGTGTCAACCTGTTACTAATGAGTAGGCTCGTATACACGTGTACTTTGCAGGCACATTGTACATGTACATGTACATGTATTACACATGTATGTACCTCTGCCTGTTGAGAAAAAAAGTTCAGCAATCTGCACCCCTTTATCAAAATAGACTCCCCTTTTCTGCAGGATGGGGTCACCTCATTAGCATATTAGAGCACTGTTACCAATTACCAGCTGGCCAATCAGGTGGCTTTTAATGAGTCATCCCAGATGTTATTGATTCACAAGTTTTAATACACTGAAGAGTTGGCTGGGTCCTGCTCATTGGGCCGTGGCAGTGAGGGTCGGCTGAGCGGTGAATTCAGCAACAACACTGTGATTTTTTTCTTCCTCATATATACGATTTAATACCGGACTGACTGACTGGCTCAGAAATTGGCACCTTGTATCATTTTCTCTTGTGGAGTCATTCATGGCCCTGGCCTGTGAGGATTATTGTTGGAAAAAAACCTGCCTGCAACTTCCAGCTTCCTCGGCCTTGTTTTTGTGAGTGTTTTTGCAGAGTTTCGCATTAGCGCTGGAGTGGACCCTCTTGACTTCTGCCTGGTTAATCCTGTAATGCCATTCTGATTATCTGAAGCCTGCTCCTGCAGTCTTGACACTGTGGTGTATCCAGGGAAAAAGTGAGTGGCTTGTGGAGGTGAGAGTTGTGTGGACTAAAGGTACACCTTTCACCACCTAAACTCGCATGTAACGTGTAGTTGTGGAAATCCCATTAGTGTTGCAACGTCTTGGGTCAGAGTCCTCTAGAAAGTGAATGCGTTGACCACATGGACAAACGGGATACAAAACATGAAGGGATATTTTGTATTATCAGTGATACAATGTCCTCAACGTCTTCATCAATTCACAGCAGCCCTCCCCTCCCCCCCAAAAAAAAATCAGCGGTCAGCAGGTGTCTGCTTATTTTTCAGTCCTGCCCAGTCGCTTCGCACCATCCAGGCTGTAGTTACGGAGTGCGTGTACAGTGTGTTGCTTGTCTCTTATCTCTGCTGCCCCCAGCCTCTGTGTGGACCCAGCCTCCCCATGAATATTCCAATTTGCTAATCAGCGTCACTTCCTTCCTGTAACTTAATTTCCTGCCTTTCTCTCGCGCACAGCACATAACCAAGTCAACCTGTTCTCTTTTCTTTTCTCTTCCCACACCCCCCTCCCAACTCCATTCTTCCTTGCACCCCCCTCCCCAATTCGGTGCATGCCTTGGCCTGTTGTGCTCAGGCGTCGGACCCCAGTGAGTCGCTGAAGGAGTCAGACCGGTACAGCAGAATGGTCGACGTGACTGAAGCGACGAGTGCTGTGAAGACCGAACCCAATGCGCAGGAAGTACCCACAGGGTTTGAGTTACCGGACGAGTTGTCAGGAAGCCCTGTTGGTAAGTTTCTCACCGTTGTTAACTTTGTTCACTCACTTATTTTAAATATCATTTTCCGGAGGAAGTTATCGGGCTTGATTGTTTTCCTGCAGTGCATTTTAATCTCCTGCATTCAGCGTGTATATCTCACAACAGGAATTCCAAACCCACCGCATAATGCATTGTATTAGAGCATAGGCAATGTTAGGCACTGTTTATGCTGAACAACTTCCAAGGTACCCAACATGTAGCTAACAAAACTGTGGATGTCAGATTCATCAAAATCTTAATTCTTTGGGATAAGCAGTGATTGCGGTTCAGTGCAGTACACTTAAACATGTATGACCGTTTGGAATGAGAGTCAGTGCCAGCCACGGCTCTTCTGAATTGTGTACAGCCCGCAAGCTATCTCCAAATCAACTCCCCACGGTCGTTCTTCCACTAGGTACATGTACATGCATATAATTTAGTTTTTGGAAATAAATGCGATTTCTAAAACATTGGGCGATCCTTCAGTGCACCTGGGCTGTTCTGCCTAAATACCACAGATGAATATTGTACATGTACATGTGATAACAATTAGAAATGGACTTTGATTTTTGTTTCTGACAGTCCAGAATGTCTAAAACCAGTTCGGTTTTAACTTCACCCAAGCCTGTCATCACTGTCGCGTCTTAATGCACTAGGAACAAAACACGGGCAGAACTGGCAAAATTGATATGCTGGCTATACAGTAGCGGGGCCTGCTCCCAGAAAACAGCATAGAAATACACAGACCTCTGTTGTTAGGGTTTAAGCTTGACAGTAGAGGGCGCTTCAGTTGTGGAATTTTTTTTTGGGGGGGAGGGTTGAATGTACTAAATATCATTTCAGTTGGAATCGTGAAGGAATAAAGCCTGCTGTTGTAGAAAATTAAACACCACGCACATGTCGTGACTGAAACGCAAAAATGTACTGGTATGCGTTGTGAATGGTCAGTACATGTACCGGTACATGCTGTCTTGAAAATCTATTGACCTTGTGGAAGTGCAAGAGCACCCTCGTGTGATGCAGTATTAATCCTGTTACTAATCATGCTCTTCGTGAGTAACAAACATTTAAATGTTGACATTTATGATTTGAAGAAGTGCCAAGTGAAGCTCATAGCTCACTCCCTCCTTGTGCTGGATGTCTTGTCTGCATCTGCGCCGAGTTAACGTACGTCCCTTAAAAGCTAGTCAGGAGTGCACGTTGGATAATCCGACCCATCGTTTCCGAACCGGCTGTTAAGTGGATGTTTTTCATTATTACTGTCCTCAGCAGGGACCAAACAACTCCCCTTGTCCCCTTTTTACCCCCTTCCCATCATTGAAAGTCCGCGTAAGGGATCGCGTGTGGAACCTAAAACTCAGCCACGAGATGATTGGTTGATCAGGGGGCATGGGTGGAAAGAACTGTTTCCGTTTTGAAGTCCTTGTAATTTTGGGCCAGTGAACAAAATAAAAAAGTTTACCAGCTGGTAGTACCATTTGAAGTTTTCGGCTCCGCTCACAGCAATTATTGTTTACCGTTTGTCAGATTCTTCTTGATTTGTTCAGGCTCTTTTGGTGGTGAAGAGGGATTGGGAAGTCCAATTTTTCCACTCAGAGAGGGTGTACATGTACACATCCCAGGAATGGCGATGACTTGGAAACTCGGGATTTCATTTTACAATTCTACTTTATTACATATATGTAAAACTAATGAAGTAATGTACAGTAACTCAGACATTGTTGCGGGACGTAGTATTACATGTATGTTCATGTATACTGCTTTCATGAAAGAAAATCTAGAGCTGAGTTATTCACAGTACCTTCCTAGTCAACAAAAGATAAAAAAACCCTTCACTGGGAGGGATAAACAGTTGCTTTTATTGTACTGGCCACTTGGTAAAGTTTGCTGGTGGTTGCTACAGTTAACCAACTTTAGGCAGGAAAAGAGGGTGATTTTATCAGAGGAAGGCAGCTGCTTCCTCTCAACCTGTTTGCGGTCACAGATTCCTTGCTCTGTGTTCAAACTGGTTTCTTTTTCTCTCTTTAGAAACAGATCACCGTCTGCTTTATTTCAAGTTTGAATAAACTACTGTAGCACTCATTTGTTGTGTTTGAAATTTTCTTTTTGAATTTTGTGTTTCGTCTTTTTTCATAGAAGTAGAAGTTATTTTGCGGTCAATGAAATACATTGCATTGGCATTACGCCCCCTTTCAGTTTCAGGGCCCCATCCTCTTGAAGGTTTTTTTTTTCTACTTACCCCCCCATTTGTCCATACGATTGGCTGGTTGAAACTTTGACTCATACTTACATCCAATCAAGGAATGTGTGACAGGTGGTTTTGGCCGTTGCCTAGGAACTGCCACCCTATGGATTCACTGACTCATCCTCCTGTGGCAAATCAAGGACATTTTAGGGGAGATTTTGGAGAAGGAGGTGATCCTGCAGAGAGTGTTGTACATGTACATGTGCATGGTAGATTGGCAGGCTGAATCACCCCTCCAAGAATACGCGTACGTAACTGCCCCTGACATTTTCTTCCCCAGTCTCTTCTGTGAAGTGTGTATGTTGTTTGAGCTGAAGTACAACGTAGAAGGAGTAGTTTACGCTTAATTCCATAAATCTTTTTAAAAAAACCTTTCCCACTGAGTTTTTCAATTTAACCATTTAAGGCCTTTTCACACTACCGGTACAACCTCTCAACCGCGGTTGAACTCACCCGCGGGCGAAGGGACCTGACATTGTTTCACACTTGTTTTGAGCTTATCAGGGCAAGTTCAACCTTTAAAAAGGTACGGAAAATTTTCAACCCTGGTTTGAAAATTCTCAGCCCAAATTTGGAGCAGGATTGACTTCAACCCGGGTTGAAGTCAATCTCAGGGTTGATGTGGCATTGGTGCAGGGTTGAAAATTTTCAAGTGTGAATCGCCGCCAGTTTTGACATATTTAATAAGGGATGTATCACTGAAATTGATTTCAAACTATTATTTTTTGGCAGGTAATTAGCAGTACTTATTCAATCTTGCAATGAAACAGTGAGTTCTAAACATTAAAAAAATCATATGCCAGACGTAACAGGGACGGGAAAAACAGTGGACCCCAAATGTATAGAATGGCGTCATTGGAAAGCGCTAGCTCATCACAAAGGGAGTACACGTACGTGTACATGTATATGACCTGTAAGCATATGCTTCAGTGGCTGTGTGTGGTGCTGCTTTTCTCTCTTTTTTTCCCAACGGAGGAATAGTTCTGCTGGCAGACAGCAAAGTCCGTACACCCACATATTAGAAGAATGAAAAATAAGGCAATTTACCAATGGCCTCTGTAGTCCTGCACCTCCTGTTGACATGTACATGTCCACGGATGGTGGCTTTGTTAGGGATAATTTGTCTAAATCCAAATCTCATTATTTTCTGTCCAGCATTAGGTCATCTTCCTATCAGTATCGGTGGTATTTAGAATGGCAGAAGAGCTTACTGTGCTTTGCAATTTGTAAGGTGTTATTCAAATTTTGATCTTATAACCCCCCCTCCCGAAAAAATTCTCCAAACAAAAATTGCAAACAAACAAGAAACACCACCAGCAAAAACTTCAATACCTTTATTCCTTTTTGTGAAACATGTAAGCTATAAAGATTTCTTCATTAGTTGATCATTTGGAGGGAAGCTTGAGTCAAGTATAAATTTGTTGTTTAAAGGCACTTTTTTTCTGTTTTGTATTGCAGCATTAAAATATAGTTACCACATGTGCTAGGTGACATACATCATGTACATGTTAAACTGTGAAAAAAATGAGTTAACTTGTGACCTCAGCCTCCCCTTCTGGACAAGGAATCAAATGCTTCGGAGTCCTGAGTGGAGGTTTGGGATGGGACCCACAGGATCAGTTGTATGCTAATGTTTTATCCCTTCATTCAAACCAGTCCCTCTCGCTGGCCCATGTCATAACATCACTCACCCGTGAAATAATGGGATGCACCATTGAAAACACCATGTCTAGACGAGTCCATTGTGTGGCCTAGGGGTACATAACTGGTGTGGTTTTTTTTCTTATTGAAAGGGACCACTGAGATCAGTGGATTACACAAAAAGTAGCAGGGTTTTATGAAAGGGGGATGAAGCTTAGCATGGAGGAAGTTTTTACTTAACCATTGCCTGGTGACCTCCAAGCTTGATTTATGCAACCACAGGCAATAACAAACAAAAGCCCGTTACTGAGTTTAGGGATCACAGAGTAGGGATTTGTTTGTATTGCTGTTTGTGTCTTGTCTCACATGAGCATAGAGCTAGGAAAAGTGCATTCCTTTGTGATGATGTATGTGCAGGGCTAACTTGAGCCATGGAGGACTACCTCCATGCTTGAGCCTTTGAAGAGTGACCAAGTTCTTAATTCATTTTGTTTTATATGTTCAATTCTTGTGTAGCTACACTGGTCAAAAACTCAGGCTTCTCTGTTCCTTTACATGTGTACAGTGTACCTGTGCCGTATTTGGCCTTTTACTCCGGTTGGTTTATTTTGATAAATCGTTTTGGGACCTGGTGATATCTGCTGTGCATACACACAGTAGTACACATGTGTACACGTACATATGCACATGTATGCTGTATGTATTCCCCTGTGACACAGTGTACCCAATGTACATGTATTCTCTTCTAAAATCTAACCAAGTACCTCACCACAAAAGTAGCCACATGTACAGAGTAACGTAAACAGACCAGTAAACATGACTCATTCAACCAAGGAGACATACCAGCTACTCAGTACATGGGTAGATTTTCGTGATAAATCCCAGCGGGCCCTGTCCGTTCAGACATGTTATGGAGAAATGCAGAACTTGCTTCATACAGAGGTTATGGTTGACAGTCTAAAATACCCCAACCATGGTGGAATAAGAACACTTTCCTCCATGCTCCAACATGGGGGATTCACTATCTATAGTGTGCCTCCAAGAGGTTGCAGCGCATTGGCCAATCACAGTGCGCGGAACCTGTCGACCGTTTCCAAAAGTGCAT